ATCTGCTTTAATCATCAAAGGTATCTCCTACTGAGTATTATATTTGTGCTTTCTGAACTCTAAACTAGCACAATTTTAAAAAGTAATTTGTGCCCTCTGGCAGGCAGTTCTGCCTGAGAGTTGGGGTCTACGTTCTCTGGTGATGTATTTCACTAGCAGTGCCACTTCAACACTGGCAGAAAGCTAGGCAACCTCAAGACTGGTGATAACTCTTAAAAGATCAGGCCCCTGAAACAAGAGCATGCAGTTATTCAATTTCTGACATTGTAAAAACTAGGCAAACAATATACATTCTATTTAAATTAATGTAATTGTAGAGCAGAGTGGTGAACTGTTAAAAGGTTAAACAAATAATGCCTGCCACCATTACATTTCAGTTTTGACATTGCAGTACACTATTATTCTACAAATTCACAGGAGCCCAGATCTGATTAAAGGAAATTACAAACCACTCCTATTCAGGTCAAAGGCAGATTGGGATGGAGATGACTCCTGCTAATATAGAGAGCAGAAAAGTCACAATGATCAAATCTCAGAAAATGCTGCAGTTTCTCTTCCACTTCTGTGCTCCCAGACTTGTCTGGTACTTATGCAAAACGGAAAAAAGCAGTGATTCCCATTAACCATTTAAACAGCATTCACTGAATACAACTGCTATGTAAACTAGGTTTTCATATTGTGCTGGTGGTTGTGTTTATTTCAGAACAAATAAGGATATTCCTGAGGTCACTGTGGTGATGTGTATCAATCGTTATTCTTCACATATGTATTAGAAGCAAAAAATGAGACACGGTTGTATTTAATTTTTTAAAGAAACGTTTGCTTAGTAGAGCACATACAGCAATTTCCATATTAATAATAGGGGCGGCACATGAAACGACTTCAACAATTATTTTAAATTGCCTGGATTTCAAGTCAAGGCTGTTCCTTAACCTGCCCTTGGCTCAGTTGTATCATGCAAAGTCTTGCCTTTGAAACATTTGTCAACTCAAAATGGCCTAATCTAGTCCCTGAAATGGCATTTCATTGATTTAACAGCCCTATGTTCCAGTACCAATTGTTCTGCCTGCCCCACCCCCAAGGCCCTCTTCTGTATTTACAAACACACTCTGCCTAGGTCACTGCCCAGACACTGAGGATGATGTCATCTCAAAAGCACATGTCTTGCTGCAGCATCAAGGTTTGTTAATTCCTCCCAGAAGGGGGCTGTGTAAAGTGCAGATTGAACAGGAAGCAACGGAGGGGGCTTCCTGAAAGCGAAGTAGTTTACTTGTGTATATTATTCAGGGCGCCAAGACTATATAATTTAGTTAATCGGAGATTATTGCACGGCGTGTTACAACCTCCATAAGCAGCTTGACGCCCAGAGCATTGTGGGTAGCATGGTTTGTAAACCAACTGCAGACATTTGTGTTGGACAAAATAACAGGCAAGGATTTTTTCAGACTACTGGACTGGAATTTGACCAACAAAGATAACTGTGAAACGAAGGATGTGACAGAGAACATACGTATAACAATCTGTAATGAATTTTATTAATAAACTGGTTGTACATTATGTGAATCAATAAGAGATTCTACAGTTTATATAGAGACATACCAAATGATCACAGTCTGGGTTGGTCAAGGATCACAACTCTGTGGCAGAGGGCACGCTTTTGCATGCAGAAAATCCTTTCCAGTTAAAGGATCATATAGTGAAGGTGACTGGAATGCCTTTGCCCAAGACTCTGAAGGACTGCTGCCAGTCCTTATTGCACTAGATAGAGAAGTAGTTTGACTTAGTATAAAGTCTCATATGCTCTATTTTCCTGCTCCTGTCCCCCATAATATTTTGGTATCTCCAGACTGTCACTATTTTGTGGGAAGGATATAAGCCTACACCAGAAAATTAGGCTTGTGCAATTTAATCCAATGTGCTTTGTCACCCTACTGCAACAAATAAACTTAAAAAAATACAGAGAGAGGCTTTTTTGCAGTTAGGAAAGTGAGTGGGAAAGCACCATAAAGTGTGGGATGGATGAATGAATGATTACAGAGAAGATGAATAAGTACCTCACAAGCAATTCAGGATGATTGCTGCGTTATATATCTGCCTTGCAAACAAATTAAAAGCAATGTCCAATAAAGACCAGACACAGTCTAGCCTCCATGTAAACTTTGTGGAAACAAATCAGGATAAAGCCCTTTGAATCCCATTATTGGCAAACATGGCCCATGTTTGATAAAGAGCCCCATTTTAAAACATATTTGAGACTAATCTCTTGCACATACAAATACTTTTAATCTGTGGTTCCTCCTTTCTTAGAACATAAAAACAGAGCAGGTAGGTTTCTCCCTAGGTGTGAGCTTGTCTAATATAATGTAATATCCCAGCGCTCACTGCAACCTAAATCCTGCAAATGCAATCCTTAGCTCATACAACAACTAACTTATAATTGTGCCATGACAGCGCCAAAGCAGATTGTTTTGTGAGGCTTTTAAAATCTGAATGGCTTTTTTTGGAATACTAGCATTATTCAGAATATTTCAAACTGGTCTTTGGGATTGAGCGAGAGCACTTTATGAGCTCCAGTTCAGTTTGCAGAAATCATGGGACACTTCAGACACCTTGATGAAATTCTAAAATCAGGTGAACTGAGTCACAGCATCTCTAGACTCTGATTTAACAAAACAGTTGCACTAGTGGGTGCCAGTGCAAGAATTTCTGCTAATGCAAAAGGGCTTTTTATTTTATTTTTATTTCCTGATGTGCTCCACCCCAAATCAGCTGCGGAGGATCAGGAGAACCCCCAGAACAGTGTGCCTGGGGATGTAAAATTAGTTGGTCAGGGAAGTAGAAATGTTTGCTTGTACTGTATACAGTGGACACTCTGGTTGCGAACGTGATCTGTGTGGGATGCACGTTCACAACCCGCAGTGGCACGTCTGTGCACGTGTGGGTTGCTATTTGGCACTTCGGGTCCGTAACCCGAAAAAACGCAACCTGAAGCGTCTGTAACCTGAGGTATGACTGTATTAGAATACACAAGAGCTGTATAATTTTCTTTTTAGTTTGAGCTAAACCCACAATTAAACATACTTTCCATTACACTAAAGGAGATAGGTGTTGGGAATTCAGTAATATGACTTTGAATTGTTTTTAATTGAATTGTTTTTAATATTTAGGGAAGGTTCAACTCTATTCCTTTTAATTGGCCTTGCAAGTAAAGGCAATCTGAATTCAGTAAGTTAAATTGATTTCAATTCTAAGGAAGTGTGCCTAGGATTGCAACATCACACTGCTGCCCTGGAAATACTCAGAATGAGATCTCCTGCCTAGGACCTATGGAATTCAACAGGGTATAATGTATCCAAATCCTATGTAGAAATAGGTCGCAATATTAAACTTGCTTGCCTGGGGATGTCCCATTGAGACTAACTTCTGAGTCAACATGTGTATGATTGCATTGCTAGGATTGTGTTACCAATGTTCCACTAATGCATTCTGTAGACCCAGTCAGGTTGGAGAGCTATTAAAAATGCACAGCTATGTTCTTGAAGATAGATTCTTTTATTTTTGCAAAAAAAAAACAAAACACAAAAAAACCAACAACCCTCAGTATTTTGGTTTAGGGTTCATATAAAAAACTAAGCGTTAAGCTAAAAATCATTAAAACAACCTTTAAAACAACCCATTACAAAATATAAAAATTTTAGAAGCAAATTTAGTTCAAAAGGCATATTTATTTGCTGAATAAAATATTGACAGAAAATGTGCTACACCTGGGCAACCTGCAGAGAGAAAGTGTTTGAATCAATGAGATTTTTTTAAAAAAACTTCTGTATTAATGGTATATAGAACATTACAAGTTTGAGACTAAAGTGGCAGTTAGGTATATAAGGAACACAACTCATCACCAAGGTGCTAGTCTTAAATTTTAACATTCAAAAGGTTTAGGCGTGGATCAGGATAGCTCAAGGACCATCACCACCTGCATGCATCTGCCGTTATTACGACCCTTAGCAAAACCTCTCTCTCTCTCTTGTAAGTTTCTCCTCCGTCTACAGCAGGCAGTGAGTGACCTGGGATAGGTGCCTGATCTTTGGCGCATTCTAGGGTCACATTAGCTTGAACTTCAGACCTTTTTGCATGACAATCATGCGTTCCACTACAGCTAGCCTGAAATAGAATTGATCTCTAGTAGGTTGAAAAGGAAGAACGGTAATATGTTGTAAGTAGTCGGTGTAGAATGAGACACAAATACCGTAATCTGTTTGGTTATTTGCCTCCAGTGAGAACTATCAGAATGGTAATGGAGCTGAGGGTGACACACAAATGCTGCCTTTATCTTTCCCACAATAATAATAATAATCGGGGGGGGGGGAGATGACACTGTGTGTAGGCATCCCGTTTGTCACGGTAGTAGTGTATATGAAGTTGAATGCTACAAAAATATACCGTAAATATATATGAATGGGACTTTTTCCCTTGAGTAAGGAAACAGTGAAAGTTGCCTCCTTTGCTTATTTCAGATTTGCATGCTTATTATGTATGTGCCGTACTGAAGATGATATGAGTTGCCTCTGGAATTTATATATCTGCTTACAAGCGTAAGATATTATTCACTCTTTCTGGACGAGGAGTAACAGGCATCTGATTCCCCACCGCCCGCTCCAAGCAATTAAAACATATACAGTGTGCATATATCTATATATAATCCAGTCCGCGTTTTTCTATCGCCTGCCTGGCTGTCTTGTCTGTTCTGCACAATCTACCTTGCTGCCTTGCGCTTGGTCCCGGCGCCGGTTGCGATTGGCATGTGCGGAATAGCTCCATGGGCGTGCAGCGCTCCCATTGGCCGAGCCGGCCGCCCGTCGGGCGGACGCGGGGGGCTGCGTGAAAGTGTGCGTTGCACGGTAGCACTCCGCTGCTTGTGTCTGTCGGTGTCTGGGGCCGGCCCGGCGGGCGGCGTGTGGGGGAGGCGGGGGGCGCGCACGCGCAGGGTGGGGGGGGACTTGACGGAGGGGGGCCCCCCTTCGGTCCCGCGCGCTGTCTCGGCCAAGATGGCGGCGGGGACGGCAGCGGCGGCGGCGGCCGTGGCCCGGCTGGAGGGCCGCGAGTTCGAATACCTCATGAAGAAGCGCTCGGTGACCATCGGCCGCAACTCCTCGCAAGGCTCGGTGGACGTGAGCATGGGCCACTCCAGCTTCATCTCCAGGAGGCACCTCGAGATTTTCACGGCCCCGCCCGCCCAGGCCGCCGCCAACAGCGCTGCCGGCCCCGCCGCCGCCGCCGCCGATGGGACCGGGCCCCAGCCCGATGGTGCTGCCGCCGCCGCCACCCCTGCCGCCCCTGTACCGTCTGGCGGCGGGGGCGATTTCTATTTGCGCTGCCTGGGCAAGAACGGCGTCTTCGTGGACGGGGTGTTCCAGCGCCGGGGGGCGCCCCCGCTGCAGCTGCCCCGAGTGTAAGTGCGGAGCGGAGAGGGAGGGACGACCGGGCGGTGCGTGCGAAGTGGACGGGTGGAAGGAACACGCGCTCCGGCGCCACTGTGACCTCCTTTTCTTCTCTCTTTCTCTCTCCCCCCCCCTTTCCCCGTTCCCGGTGTGTCAGTCAGGGGGGCGTGAGAGAGGCGGGTTCAGGCCTCTCCGCCAGGCGCTCCGGAGGAAAGGGAGGGACGGCACCACGCCTTAAGGCTCTTTCTGGCCGCGGCACCCGGGCAAGGAGGCTTGAAGGGTGTCTGCAGCAAAGGAGCAGCAGCAGCAGCACCTGAGCCCAGTTTCTTTTCTGCCCGGCTGGCGTGGGCATCGCGCGTGGTCGCTCGCCCGGTTTCCTAACGCTTTTTGGAGCCGTGATGATTTATATATATACCCTAGCCCCCACCCCCTCCACCACCGGGCGGTGTATTTATTTGGATGTAACTCGTGTTGGTTCGAGGCTTAAGTCGTAAAGGCTGCACAGCCCTCGACCAAATAACCCCTTTTGCCCGCAACGTTGATCGGGGCGAGAGCCTCCTTTCAAGCCACGCACATCTGTCATCTTATCGATTTGTATTTCCCCCGATGCTACAGGAGGCTCCGTGTCTTCCAAGGGGAAAACGAAGCACTACAGACCTCCATTCCGTGCTCTGAACGAGAATGCCTCGTGATACAATAGCCTTGTGGCTAAAATGTCACTCCCGGGGTTTAAAAATAATAATAATAATTCAGAAAGTGTGGTATGGTTTAGAAATGTGCTGCTTTGAAATGATATCGATTAGGAAATATTAATGGAACACCCTTTTTGAAACAAAATAGTTTTCGGAGGCATTTAAATAATACTGCTTGTTAACCAATTTTCTGATTAAAAAAGCCCCAGCAACACTTGTTTTAAGTCAGCCCTTTTTAGGCACTTCAATACTTTTTACCATTGCTTAGTTATGTTTCTGTGTATAATGCTGTATTGTCAATACAGTTAAATGACTTGTTTGACCTCTGTCAACTGTGACTTCCATTCATACTGTTGGCAACGATACAGAAAAGCAAAGCAAATAGTCTGCTTTGCCTTGTTGAGTTATTTTGTTGAAACTGAAAGGAATCTGTTAGGAAGGCACAAATACATTGTTTTTAACCATGGTTGTGCTTCATGTACTTAATATACTGTAATGTAAAAGAAAAATCAGTTTTATAATGAGTGATGGGAGCAGGTAACTTTTAATTTTAAAATTTGAAATGATACTTTCTCCTCCAATCCACACCTGATGATTTGTCACTGTGAATCTGAATATTCATTTGTGAGGAAAATTCTCTTAAGCATTACATTTGTGAACTTGGTCTGAGAGAATACTTTATTTAATTTTGTAGCTTAATGGGTTGTGATAGTTTTCAGAAGACCTTACAAATCTAGGAATATAGGAAGTCAGGTAACACGTGGTTTGAAATAAGACTGCTCTGTGATTACATCTGTTATTGTTGTCATGATTTCCTTCAGTGCATTATATGCACAAATAGCAACCCCCCCCCAAAGTTGGGAAAGTTCAAAGTCATTAAATGGTTAAATGACCCTCAAGGAAAAAAAATGCTGTTTAAAATGTTAATTTCAGGATGTAGCTAGCTGTGTTAGTGACATGTCACAGCATTCCAATCTGTGGTGTTTCTGAGAATGGTGTAACATAGTTCATCACCTACACTGAGTTACCATTTGCAAAAGAATTTTTGAAATAATATGCAAATGTTAAGACTGATTCCGTTTTAAGTAGCACACTGATAATGCTATATTTATGTGAAATAACTAGTTATTAACTTATAATGTGTAATTATGTGGAATTTACAGCTGATTTTTTTTGTCAATAGTTTATTTGAGATTTTCATCTTTCTTTCTTTCTTTCTTTCTTTCTTTCTTTCTTTCTTTCACAACTCCCTCCACCCCAATAAACTTGATTCCAAATGTATTTAATTGGATACAAGCCTTGGTGATTTCAGTCAAAATTTCAAGTAGATGGACTTAGAATTAAAATCAAGGTCTGGTCCAGTAACCTAGAGTGTGATTAGTTATGTTCATCTTGAACAGCTCAGCCTGTGCGCAATTTCCTTGTTTGATCCTTTCATCACTTTTAAGCAGTTTTCTAGCATCTTTCTGTTACTCATAGTGGATTGAGGGCAATAGGCAAAACAATAAAACATTGAAAGTCTCTTATGTGGTACTGGACAGACTTGTAGAATATTGTAAATAATAAGAGATCTTAATCTTGTTTAACTTCAGAATGAGTGCTTAGGTAATCTTGAGATCTGCTTACCAAGGGACCTGGAGTGAAATTCCACCCCACTGAAGTCAGTTAGGAGCTTTGCCAGGGTTTCATCAGTGGTGTTTACTTAGACTTTGAAAAAGCCTGTTTAGCTATGAGTAGTTAGTCCAGCTTTCATTTAGGCTCAACAGCTTTTAATGTCTTTATATCTTGATGCTGAAAAAGAGTGTGCTTACAAATATTGGTGGTTTGATCAAAACTTATTTTCATTTCAGTAGGAAAGTTAAGCTCATGTTTCAGCTTGTAGAATCAAATCCTTTTATAATGTGAAGGCATATAAAGAAACCTTGAATTCTGTTGCCAAGAAATAAGGTTTTTACAAAGTTGTATGACATAGATCTTGTTTAAATTTAATAATCATTGGTTTAAAAACCAAGAAAATGGAGCTTGAATAGCTTAGCTGTGCAAGAGTTCCAAATTATGTTTTGTATCTTGCTTCTTACCATGTTTACTTAGAAATAACTCATGGATTTTAATTCTCGTTACTTCTAGTCATACAGCTCATTTTGCAACTTGTGCACAGTGCAAAGCAATGTTTTGCATTAGTGTACTACACACTTGAAGTCTCTTTGTAGACAAGCAATCCTTCTTTGAGATTCAGTTTAAAGTGACACGTAAATTTATTGTGAACTAGGGAGCTTTAAGTTAGCTTGTATATTTTTCATATAAGTTACGTATCTGAAATTCACATTAACCTTCTGTGTTACAGTCCATATTTGGGGTTTTTAATTTTTTGTTGTTCCACCAATCCTCCTTTTTTCTTGGGAGTTTTTGGTCTGACACTCAGAGATTTGACCTTAATTAATGTTATGGTTGTCCCACACGCTAAAGAAGGTATAGTAAAAATCTATTCTGTGACATAATGGTTAGCATATTGGGCTAACAAAGTTGCTTTTACTCTTTATAGTAAAAATACTTATTTCAAATGTGTATGCTACCAATGAGTAGCCTGGAATTGTTCCATCTGCCAGAATACTAGCAGAAATTGATAATGGAGATAGTCAGCTATGAGTTACATGTATCCTTATCGTGGTTACATAGCAGGTTTTGTTTATCTTAAACAGAAAATTTTGATTCAGACTGTAACTGTAGTTGTTTTACACACAAGTCATGGCGTTTGTCTTGCTTAGTGTTTGTCTTTTGAGGAAGCAGTTTGTATACTGGCAAATCCCTAATCTGCAAATCCCTATTGCAAATTCAGGTGTTTCCCCCCTCCTTTTTGGATACCTTAGAAACCCAGTATTGGCCACTTAAAATAATTTGTAGAATTTGCTCAAATTAATTTTTCATAGCAGTTAAGTCAGCTTAGAAATAATAAAATTTGAAAACACAGCTTGGGGTATCTTCATTCTAGATTTTGAAACTATAGTTTAAAACATAGAAAGATGGAAGCCTTCTTTCAATCCATATAAATATCTAAAATGTGTAAGTATTGAGAAGTGTGGTAAGTAGTTGTTGACTGCACAGCAAAAGTTAAGGTGGAGGCCTTGCAATTAATAGGTATACACATTGATCACTTTTCTATTTATAAATAAATTGTTTAAAGTTGTATCCTTCGTTGCTCAAGTGGTCAACCTGTGGCTCAAGTAGCAGACATCTGCACACCTGGACAGGAGCAGAAAGATTGCAAGTGTGATTATGCCATATGCACTCCTGCCAGCTTCCTCTTTGCAGCAGTTTCTCTGTAGTTTAGAGGCAAAATTATATCAGAGTCCAGGAGGACTGCATCTATTCATTAGTGTGTATTAGAGTAGCACTCTCTTATACTGTGAACTGGACTTTTAGACACACTTGCCCCAAAGGTTAGCCATCACTGCTTTGAGCATTAGTAATAAAAACATGAATGATTGATATCTATTGACTGCTGTAGAATTAACATTAGATAGAGTTGGGATCTCAAGTTGCAACATGGCGGACAGCACTTCTGCTTCCCCTCAATTTTTGTCAGTTCCCTGTTGCTGTCCAGATGCAATACTATTCCAGAGGCTTCCCCAGTGCTTAGGAGTGGATTTTCAGATGGTTACAACAGCCGTGGTCCAAGTCAGACTATATATACTGTTATATGTACTCTTCTAGTAGAAATAAGAAACTGGTGTTTCATGTTTCAGTCTCTCAAATATTGTGTGCTTATACAGTACATGTCTTCAGAATAAAAACACATTTCTGGAATAAAAGAATGATGTCAGTGATTGCTTCTTGGTTTTGATGGTATTTATTTGAAGTCTCAGTGATGTGTTGTGTCTTATCTTTAGGAGTAAAGATAAAGGTAAAGGTACTCCTGCCCGTACGGGCCAGTCTTGACAGACTCTAGGGTTGTGCGCCCATCTCACTCAAGAGGCCGGGGGCCAGCGCTGTCCGGAGACACTTCTGGGTCACGTGGCCAGCGTGACAAAGCTGCATCTGGCGAGCCAGTGCAGCACACGGAAACGCCGTTTACCTTCCCGCTAGTAAGCGGTCCCTATTTATCTACTTGCACCCGAGGGTGCTTTCGAACTACTAGGTTGGCAGGCGATGGGACCGAACAGCGGGAGCGCACCCCGCCGCGGGGATTCGAACCGCCGACCTTTCAATCGGCAAGCCCTAGGCGCTGAGGCTTTTACCCACAGCGCCACCCGCGTCCCTTCTTTAAATACATGCAAACGTATATACATTTAAGCAGTAAATAAAAATAGCAATAATATTTT